TTTCTGCTTTCCCAGCCAAACACTCCCAAAATATACACACATCAGTTGAACTGGGAGGGGGGAAGCAAGTTCTGCAGCACAAAAGCGTATTTGACATGTAAGAGCTACACAATATAATTCTACCACCACCAAACACTCCAAGCACAATTTCTTCTAGAGGTAAGAACGAGGAAAGAAAATGATTTAATGTTATAACCTACTGAATAGAAAGGCTGAGAACATCAACTACAGGATGGCTGATACAACGGTATAATCATCAGACAGTGCCCAAAATCAGGAGTGTAAGAGTCCCCATTTCCTTTAACTTAAGTCTTCTGGGCTTCATCTCAAAGTGACATATTTGTGTGATTTAGTTCTGAAAAGCAAGACTGTTGATAGGCTAAATATGTAATGCAACTATGAGCTACTACATATAACAGATAACCCGAGGAAAGACAATGTTACCAGATGTTTCTTTAACATGCCACAATTTTAAGAATCTTAGAAGTGTTACAAACTTGGGTCAACTTACAGAAAACAAAGTACTGTAGGCAAAAAAATATTAAATTTTAATGTTTATACCCACTTCTTTAAACCCCATCTAACACTAAATGCTGCCTGACTTCAAGGAACAGGAAAGGTAACACAGGAAAAAAATTGTAGTTCAGGAAGCAACATGAAGCCAGCTGAAAAGGAAACCAGGCATTTGGAAATCTAGGTTTCAATTGCTTGTCCATTTAGAGAAGCACAAATACATATAGTAAAAAACCCCAAACCTCTACTTTTATTCAAGTGATTAAAAAAAGATATACTGATACATTCCAGATTTTCCAAGCAGTTTGCCTGAATCTGAACTGGGACAGTCTTTAACAATCCATTACATTAATTTTTTTTTTGGTGACACAAATATAGTCAATCTCATTGCAGCTTCCAATTTTTGCCACAGATAGAATCAAAGCAACAGTCATTATGGAATCTTTTTTAAATGTGTTACTAATTAGAAAAGTAGGTCCCTGTCATTTTAAATAATTAACTTCAAATTGTGGATCCCACATTTGGAATAAAGAAGCATTTTTCCCACTTCATCAACTCTTTGAAAGATGATAAACTTAAGCCCTCTAAAATTAAATGTGTGGAGTTCCCCAAAATTTCTAACCAGCATTTTTAAAAGACACTCACTGCCTACCTGAACCGTCACTGGAGACTGAACTCGCATTAATTCCAGAAAGGCCAAATAAGGGACATTCTCGATCAGTGTTTACATGACCCCACTTGTGGCATTTAATACATCTCACATTCCGCACCTAAAAGGAAAAAAAAAAAAAAAAAAAAAAAAAATCATAATTTAGTTAACAATGCAGTTTAATATTTATAGAAATGTCTGTGTTATTAGGCACAAGAGAAGCTTTTAAACTCACTGAGAAACAGATGATAAAATTAAGAGAGTCCATGTGAATGTTCTGCAGTTACATAATATTTGAAATATACCCGAGACATCCACAGAGTGAAATTTATGTAACTTGCCTGGATACCAAATGGCTGATCTCTGATATTCATATCATCCTTAGCATATCTGGTACACAAACACAAAAGAAAACAAATACTCAATTCACCCTTTTTTGAAAACCACCATATACAAAGCTACTTTTTATTGCTAAGTGTGTATCTATTTCAAAGATATACTTCTGGTAAACATTAGTTTTAATGTGTTCTTGAATATGGATGTAAAATTAAAACAAAAACTAAGCTGGTCAAGGAAACAGTTCCAGGTTTACAGGTTTTACTAATTAACTGCCAGGACATGACAAGATTACACAAGTGACCTGCTCAAAAATAAGCAGGAAAAAAAGTAAAAGGAAATAGGAAAAAAAAGGATATAAGAGGTAAGTAAGAAGAAAAAAAAATTATTCAGATAAAATCCAGAGATCTTACTTTTCTCGAGGGGCGACTTTTTGCCATTCAAACTTGTATTCAGTCTCTCCTTCTTGCTATAAAACAGAAAACATCATAAGTTTGAAATGAAAAAAAAAAAAAACATTAAGTAAGAACAAAACAAAGAAAAAATATAATGAAATACCTCTTTAGTCTCCTCTTTGAATTTTCAGAAATCATGGAAAGAAAAGAAATGATACATTAATTATTCATGTAAAATGCAGCTGGTGTGTAAGCTGGAGACAAAACATTTTATGATTTATACTAATACAATAGCTCAAATACTCGGAAAGCAACTTTATTTAAATATAGAATTAAATAATCAGCCTCTATTAGATGGCTATAAATCCTGTAAAACCAGAATCAGCGTTTAAAATTATATTCACTTGATATACAAATACAAAAAACTTTACTTTTTTTTTTTTTTTCAAAAGTAGCAAAAATACTTAATTTTGGAATCTTTAAAAAAATACATATTTTTTTAGGAAAAATCAGTAGTTTGAGATTGTATTTGCTCTAAACTTGAGGGATTACTTTAAGAGCTTTTAAAGTGAAATAATTGCAAAATTTGCTCTACAGGAATGAGCCCATCCAAGGGGTTAATTTCCAAGGGTTTTCATGCAAATGGGAAAGATGCATTTTAAAGGGAACATGTTTTCTTTTAAAGTGAATATGTTTTCTAATTCTGCACTTACATTCAGATTTTGCTGAAATTAAGTGACTGATAGGAGTACCACCAGGTACCTAGTAACTTCCGTTTATGAATCTATCATAGTCAGACCCATTAGAGTCAGGTCAGCCAGCGCTTTTGACTACAGAATCTCACTATTTATTATTCATAAAACTTCCAGTAATTAACTTCTTGCTTTGGTATTTCCTATGCTTGACACGTATCAAGCTGAATTATAGGCAGAACTTTTGCTTAAAAGTGACCCTGCCTTTTCGAAAAAGTAGAGTAGGCCAAAATACAGGTTTGTGCTGTTTGAGTCATTGCCTTGTTAAGGTCCAGTCTTCCCTGTCCAGTGGCTTTATCACTGGCTAAAGAAATACCTTTGGTCAAGGACAGAATTTCTACTGTTGCCAGGAAAGATATTTTATCTGTTTTTTCCGTTCATATTGAACTGTTGCTTAAAAAAGACTCTCAACCATTCTCAGTCTGAAAGAAATTAAAGTATTGTGAGATCAAAATTATTACATACTGTGTATGTCTGCATATTATCACAGGAAGAACTAAAAATCATACCTTCTACCATTACCTCACTATGAACATATTATTTTAAAATAAAAAACATTGTGCTTATTTCTTCAGAAGACTTTTAGCTTTGCAGTACTGTCTGCTCATGATCAGGAAACGGTAGTACCTTTCTTTGCACCAGGTGGGGCCTCATACATGAAATTAAGACCATTCTTCACACGCTCATCACCCATAAGCAATCTAAATAAAAAGGGCAGAGTTCAGGGTGTTATACACAGAACAATCATGTTGTTACTACTTACTAAAAAAAAAACCAACAAAAAACAACAACAACAAAAAAACCCAAACCAAAACAAAAAAAAAAAAACAAAAAAAACAAAAAACAAAACAAAACAAAAATGTCCAGCAGGAAATTGCTTTAATAACTGGCAATTTTTTCATTTGTTAACTTGAGTAACAGAAGTTGAATACCACAAAAACCTGAGAGACCAGTCAATACCTCTGCGCGCTCCACTGTGTACCAAAAATCACACATTTTAATCACAACCGGAACATAACCATGTGTCCACAGAATTATGAAAGACAGATTTCCGTGTGATTCAAATATATTGTTGTACAAGGTTACCTGCTGTTCTGGGCACCGTAACGTATTTTGAAATTAATTAGAAGACACATACAAGCCACTTTAAAGAAGTTCTTGTGACCTCTACTCTGAATGAGACACCAATTTCTGAGTCATAGTCCTCTCCTACTACTACAGTCAATGGGAGACAGTATTTCAAATAACTCACAATGTACATCACCATCATGAAAACAAGTGACAGGAGGAAGAAGTGTGTGATCTCATGTCAGTTCTCACCTATTATCATAGGATTCCTGTTCTTTCAGATACTGCTGCATTAATTCTTCTTGCTTTTTCTTATCATATGATATTTTCTGCTCCGCCATCCATACCTAGTTAAAACAAGTTTCTACTTCAAACAAATACAAAAGTACCACATAATGTATTCACGTATAAATACTTAACTGGCTTAATGTATTGAAAATACTTAACAAGGGAAAGTTCCTATTCCAATCACACAAAATGTATTATTTTCCTCCAGCATTTTGACAAATTAACTTCACACAAGCAGCAATTTTGATAAGCTACAACTCCAATAACACTTAAGAACTGAAAAAACATGGCAAAGTTTAGTAATTTAAAAGGAAAAGTAGGCTCAGAAAGCATCCTGGGTGTGCCACCCTCTTCAGCAGCAACGCTTCCTCACTTAGGTCTCACCAGGCCCCAAATCCCTGGTTCTCTCGGAGCTCCTGCGATGGCACAGTGCTGGGAAGAGAGGCCTGGAACCAGGCCAAGGCAGGTGTGAAATATTGGGAAAACCTGGGCACATCGGGAGAGGCGGGGGTTTTCCCGGACCGTGCGTGGTGCCTGTTTATCCAGAGAGTCGGATGTTGAAAAGCATGATCCAGAAAAAGGCGACAGATACACGCACCCGTGAGCGAGGAAACCTGCCGCTCCAAGTATTTCTTCACATCTTCCCCTGCCTCTTCCTTCCCCCTTGCCCCAGCCCCAGTCCCTCCCCTGGAAGGCGACATGTCCCGCTGACGCCGCTGCAGTGCCGGAGCCCATCGCCCCCCCGGCCCCGGCCCGGCCCGACTGACCGCTCGGCTGAGGGGCCGCGGCGCCTCACCCCAGACCGGCCCCCCTCACCTTTTTGATGTTGGACTTGGAAGCGGGGTGAAAATCCTTCTTGCACATGAAGTTGGCGAACGACTTCCCCATGGCGGCGGCAGGAGACGGAGCCACCGGCTCCCCCGCACCGACGCGAGCCCTCAGCCGGCTGCCTGCGCCGGGCCTTCCGGGTCGGCGGGCGGGCCTTCCTGCGGGGCGCGGCCCCGCCCCGCCCCGCCGCCGCCGCCGCCGCCGCCGAGCCCTCAGGAGCCGCCGTTGCCGCCCGCCGCCATGTTCCCGCGACCGCCGCCCCGCTCCTGCGACACCTTCGTGGCGCTGCCGCCCGCCGCGGCGGCCGGTCGTGTCGTCTTCGGGAAGAACTCGGACCGGCCGGCGGACGAGGTGCAGGAGGTCGTCTTCTTCCCGGCCGCCGCGCACCCGCCCGGCGCCGCGCTGGAGGTGAGGGGACGGCCACTCCTTCGGGAGACGGGAAAAAAAAAAAAAAAAAAAAAAAAAAAAAAACCACAAACCAAACCCAAACCACTTTCGTCTTATTTTCTGTGTGGTTTTAGCCCGCGATTTGGCCGGTTAATCAGGAGGGAGATGCTCGCCAAAGTGATAGCGCAAAAGGTAACTTGTTGCGTGATCTGACTTCTTGCAGTGCACCTATATCAAAATTGAGCAAGTCGAAAAGACGCACGCCGTGGTCCTGAGCCGCCCCTCCTGGCTCTGGGGGGCGGAGATGGGGGCCAACGAACACGGCGTGTGCATCGGGAACGAAGCGGTGTGGGGGAGAGAGGACATCTGCGATGACGAAGCTCTCCTCGGCATGGACCTCGTAAGGTTTGCACAGGCTATTTCGGTAAACGGTACTGAATTCTGAAGCATTTGTTTGGAGTTATATGGGGAAATACGTACTTTCACTTTCAGAAGACATCTGTCTCTTCTACTGTTCTAGACATGGTTGAAAATAAGTATTTCTCGGCACAGGCATTAGGTCTCTGCCAGAAGCTGGTAGCCTGTGAGAGGTATTGGGGCACTAGGACAGAATCTGTCAAGGAAATCATCAAACGTTTTTATCTCTACAAACTTTATACTAAACTGAAACAAGATTCTTAACAAGAGCACAGATGGACTTCAGGAACTAGGGTTTGGGTCTTTTTCTAGGTTCTGTACTCATTTCCTATTTCCCCCATCTTTCACACATATATTTTTAAGTTTCAGTCTTAGACACACATCTCCATGTAAATAACAACAACTTGTTGTGCCAGCCTTACCTGGTGCCAGTATAACTTTCATTAACCTACAGCAGTCAGTCAGTTCTTGGTACTATTTCCCCCCAGTTCAATACCCACACAGGACTTGCAGGCATTTCCTAGGAGCCCTCTCCCTGTTTTTCTGCATTTCCATTTGGTTGGTTTTCCCCATGTCGGGGACATAGGGGACCCACTTCAAACAAGCGCTTTAAGTAACTTGTTCCTTTCTCTTACCAGATCATACAAGCATCAGGTACACACAGAAATAGCATTCCAAGTCTATTTGAATACTCCGACTGAATAGCTGTATGTTAAGTTTATAGTTCCAAAGATAACATCTTCCTTTTGTTTTAGGCTTGGACTCGAGAGAGCGGACACAGCTGAAAAGGCTCTTACTGTCATAGTTGATTTGCTAGAAAAATACGGACAGGGAGGAAACTGTATGGAGAGCCACATGGTATTTACATACCATAATAGTTTTCTGATAGCTGACAGAAAGGAAGCATGGGTGCTGGAGACATCAGGAAAATACTGGGCAGCAGAAAAAGTAGAAGGTATGGATGATGCTCTTCATTTTAAACATTTCAAATGCAGTGACAATTAGCAGTTCTCCACTTTTCATTTACCATTTCATTAAGGCATCAAGCTAGCCTACAGATACATACATGCACCTGTAAACAACAGCAGTTGCTTCCTAGGGCATCAGTGTGGAGTGGCTAGCAGTTTCACAGAGGAGCTGAGTCAAAGGGGCCTTTTCAGAGTCAGAGATAACCACTTCTGCACTTGGAAAACAGAGAACAGCAGGGAGGTCAGCATGAGAATAACAGCAGTGTGTATGGTCTTAAGGATGGTGGCAATCGGTGACAATTTCATTTGGTGACAGGGTAGCACTGACAGGATTGGTGCATTGGGCCCTGAAGTGGCTGGTTCTTCCAGTGGGCTTAGAAGGACAAGCTGTGTCTTTGAAGGTCTAAGAGGAAGGATGTAAAGATGGGAATAATCAGGACAGAACCTGAAATATGATGTTGACAATAGAAGTAAATGAGTCGGAACTGAGTGGCAGTGGAATTTCAAGCAGAAGGATACAAATAGTCAGGGAGAGGGCCAAAAATAAACCACAGGACTCTCAGATCTTGTAGGAAACTCTTCAGTGCATCATTTGCTTTAGTAGGCTACTTATTAATAAAATACCAAGAAAAAGTATTAAATGTATTAAAATGATTCTTTCCCCACCTTACAAACAGGAGGTGTACGGAATATTTCCAACCAGCTCTCTATCACAACCAAGATTGACAGAGAGCACCCAGAATTGAAGGCATATGCCAAAACCAAGGGCTGGTGGGATGGGGAAAAGGAATTTGATTTTGCTGCCACATATTCTTATGTAAATACGGCCAGAATGACCACATCCAGAGGCCGATATTGTGAAGGCTATAAACTTCTGAACAAACACAAAGGTATGATTTTTTATATTTTTTTAAAGATATACAAAGCATTTAGTGAGCTACATTAATTTAAAACATAAATGATTAGACATCTGATGCAGGCAATCATTCACATGATTTAGTGAACCAGAGCTTACTAGAATAACTTTTTGCCTAAAGGAGAAACACTGAACTTGAAGTCTTCTATCTATTTTTTGCCAATTTGTTGAGTAGGAAGAATTAAAACAAGAGTCAAATATCAAACATACACAGCTACAGTAACAACACTGAGAGGTCACATTATGACCATACCACTAAATACTCTAAGAACTGCTCTGAAACATTTATGTCATTACTGTACCTCTAAGAAGAAAAAAAAAAAAAACAAACAAAAAAAAAAAACAAAACAAACAAACAAAGAAAGGCTAAAACAGACTCCCAGTGGTTTGCAGCCACAAAGACAACCTTATGAACAACTTCAGCCTGGTACCATTCATATAAGTCTAAGACACCAGCACAGCATTCAGATACATATCTTGCATTTATTTTTTTGAGATTGGTTTCTAAATCTTTGTAGTTTTGCTCTAACTGCTACTCTCATCTTGGGTAGTCTAACAGAACACAGAGAGCAGAACAAAATAATTTTCTGTACGCTAAGCAGGTGCTCCTAATCACTAACTTACTATTTTTCAGACCTCTACAGAAAGAGGCTTCTACTCTTCTATCTGCGTCCACCTGGCAGGTTTTTGCTGCATCTGTATTTCTTTGCTCATTTGAAGTAATTAATCTGAACCAAAATTACATTGCACCCCTGTGTTTTCTTATTTATTTGGCTAAGCTCTGCCAGCCCAGGTTTAGCATTTAGTTAATGTGTCAGAATTACCTTTTGCTATCCTGCTCTAGTGATCATGTAAATCCTGCATTCATTTTGGGAATTGTAGGTTCTGAATACTGAAAGCACTTTCATAATACCTGTATTTACTTGTATTATAACAATGCTGAGATTCTATCAGTGCTTTTCATTCTAAATCCCCATTTTCAGGCATTTACCTGAGCTATTTTAAAAATCACACTAGGTGTTCAGGTTATCAGCCTCATAGCTTCAGTTTGTTTAGATTTATTTAAAATAGGTGCCCTAACTAAAAGCTATTTGGTTTACAGCATCGTAAAATCACTGGTTTCTTAATCTACCCTTCCACACTCCTGCACTCAGTGGCATTACAGGTTTCTTCCAGGGTGCCTACCACATGAAGACCATTTTTAGATATACATTCTTTATATTTCATAAAATAGGAAATGTATTCCAGAAATAAAAAATAATAAAGAAGTTTAGTGGAAAATAGGAATTACCTTCTTTCCAGCTGGACAAGTTGCCAACTTGTAGTTGACAAACTGGCTGTTGCTTCTTTTAGCTTCTTTGATTCTCCTAGCTTGCTGATCTCTTGAATTCTCTGGCTTTCCCAAGCAACTGTGGGAATACCTATTTCCTTGCGGAAACGTAGTGCTGCATGCCTGTCTACAGGCAATTTGAACTGTGTATAAAAAAATAATACTGTAGACATCTGACCGAGCAACAGTGATTAGTTTCAAAGGCAACAGCAAGGTAATTTAAAAAAAGAATCTTTATGTTGCTAAAACTTCACTGAGGGAAGCAGTAAAAAATTAAATGGTAGCTGATACCTTCAAGTACTGGATTGCATGATGATATCATGCCAGTATTTAAGCTTCAGTGTACACTGTACATGAACAGCGGTATCATTTGAACACTTAGATACAGAGGCATATGTAGAAAGGGGTTTGTTTCACCTATCTGAGAAGAAAGAATTGTTGTCATAGAGATATTTGGCACTGTACCTCACATGGGTAGTTGAGAAATGTATTGTAGTTTCTGTTGATTCTGAGTATAGAACATGTTGTTACTCCAGTGCATCCTTTCAACTGTCAACTTGAAGTCTAAGTGCAGTGGGAGGTCAGATGATTAAAAAGAAAAGTTACAGTCTTAGTGTTTCATTTTCAAAGTTACACACAAAATCCAGGCACAGTTGTTATTATTTTTACATTTCCAAAGCAACATAGTGGCATTAACTGCGTACAAACACCAGTGATTATTATAGTGATTTATCTTAACTTCCATACAGCGCTCAGGAAGTTCAGCCTTTAATCCAAGCTACTAATTTTTATCTGAAAAGTTACTGTGTGACTGACCATTTGCTAGCCATATGTATTTTAACTTTCTGGGAAACATCGTGTGTTGTTGTTCTCCCTCCTTTTTAAGTCATAAATGTTATAGCTCACTATCACATATATCTAGAATAAACACTTCAGGCAAAACAATATTTTTTAAGTGTGTTGCATATTAAGATATGCTGTTAGGATGATTTTGGGGTTTTTTTGCCAACAGGGACAAACTAAAATTGGCATTGCCTGTTAATGAAAAAAACAATCTGCTGTAGAGAACGTGCCATTTAATTGATATTATAAATAGTGCTGTATGTAAATTATTGTATTGTATCTTAAATAGGATCTATTACTTCTGAAATAATGATGGAGATTCTTCGTGACAAAGAGAGTGGCATTAATATGGAAGGTGGATTTATGACAACTGGAAGCATGGTGTCTGTGTTGCCCCAGCAGCCTAATCTGCCATGTATTCACTTCTTTACTGGAACTCCAGATCCTGCAAGGTGATGTAGCAGCAAATAATTAGTATAAAAAGTTGCAAATATCTAAATGAAAAAGTCTTTCAATTTATCTAATTATACTAATTTTTGCTTTCGTGGTTTTTTTCTTTCTTTCTCCTGAAAAAGCACAATCAAAAAGTAGGAGGAACATAATGTACATTATGTACATTAATGCTCCCTACCATTCTACTTAATAAAACACTGCTGTAACTGACTTAAACATCAGTTAGGAGATTTTTTTATTTTTTTTTTTAAGACTTCTTTCTTAAAAGGGGGGAATCAGAAGAACGAGGAAAAATACAGCAATCTACTCACTCAACAACTTTAACAAAACTGTATCGGTAAAGGATCTCTGCTCTATTTTCTCTTTCTAGGTCTGTATTCAAGCCTTTCATTTTTGTGCCCAATATTACTCAGTTATTAAAAACTAGCTCCCCTACATTTGGTCATGATGATCCAGTTAAGCAGCAACCACGTTTTCAGAATAAGCCAGATCGAAGACATGAGCTCTATAAAAAACATGAAAGTGCTGCTGTAGTTATGGAAACTCTCGAGGTACGTTGATTAAATTAGATTTCAATGCAAGCAGGTGGCTTATATAAGCTCCTTGCTCACATTTTGTTAATGCAATACCATTTAATGCCCTTTGATGGATTGCAAAGAACACTGTAGTGCACCAGAAACCTATTGTCTTGGCATCTGGCAGGCATACGGTTCAAATGCTCAAAATTGCAACTAGCACTTTGCTGTAGTCCCAGGCTCGGCCCCAGACAAGTATCTCTACTGCTCATCTTGCAAAGCAGCAGGCCACACATACTCCTGCCCTGGCCAGATAATGGGGAAATGCCTGAGCAGCCCCAGGCAGATACACAGCTCCTGACAGGAGAGCTTCAGCCTCTTCCAGACCATGATCTCAGGCAGGCAGCAGGGCATGCCTTTTATTGCTTGGTGTGGACAGGAGGGGAAACACGATCACAAAGGTGAAGCAGGGAGGTAGCTGCATACGTTTAACAATAGCATCGCTCCTATTTACAGATACATGTTCTAAAAAATAAGACATATGTCCCGTTAAGTTTTGGTAGCATAAATACCTACAGCAACTTCAATTTTGTTTATTTTCAGTCCATCGGACAAGGATGCAGGGAGATGAAGTGAGTGCTAGATATTAAGAAAGATGTCTAAGAAAACGCGTTGAGGTGCTAACTTCTACCAACACAAATTTGTACCCTAAAAACTATTAAGAGGTTAAAATAAGGACAGTAGAACAAAATTTTGTTAGGTGAAGACTACACACTCTGTATAGTTTTTAGTAAAATACAGATGTTTCTTTTTGCAGGGACAAGGTAAAGAGATGCTGAAGGAGATACAGGCATTGGAGAAACAGAAGATAAGTGAAATGGAATCAATCCTGCAAAATGGATGTCTTGACATTAACCAAGTGGTTAAACTTTTTTCACAGTGTGTAGAAGAAGAACTCAAAATATATAGCTAAACCTACTATTTGAATGTGGTAAAAGTCAGTTTTATGATTAACTGTAATGAAGTGGCTATATAAATTACAGTATGGACAGTTTTAAAGATGCGGATTCATATTCAGGCCAAACAGCTTTTGGTTGTATGAAACAACACTGAAAAGGCTCTTAAGAGCCAGGCAATAGCTTTGTCTGTAAGTGGCATAAAGCTGTCATCAGAGATAGACTTTGTCAACAAACAGATGCAGTTAGAATGTAATGGCTTGACTAAATTGCGGAACCACCGTATTTCTGGATGAATAACACTAACTCAGATTTGGAGAACTCGGTTCTAGTGTACACACACATAGCTTTTATAGTCAGGATAATCGCAGCAGAATTTCACATTGCCTGAATTAAAACAGCCATGCTGAAGGACTCTAAAATGTAGAACCTATTACTTGCACTGAATAAAACGGAAAGTAATATGCAAGTCAAGTAACATTGATATTCAGCTGTTTATCAAAACCATTCTAAGATATGTTTCATATATGAACCGATGTAAAATGAGGTTAAGAGTTCAAGGTATATTAAAATCAAATCACAGTTACAATGTTACCATAGATTTGTTGTGAAAGCTGATTATATGGAATTCAACAATGCAAGCGTCCTGCAAGTTACCACATGATTTTCACTTGCCTGTCTATATTCCTCACCCTAATACCAAAAAATAAATTATTTACATACAATATGATTATTGCAAAATTAATTCTGCAATACACTTTATAACATTATGTGGGAGTTTTTAAATGTTTCTTGAATTCTTACTTTTTTTAAAATCAGCAACTAGAAACAAAGATGTTGGGGTACACCTGTATATACATATACTCAGCGGGACACTTAAAAGGATTTTTAAAATTTTTTCACTTCATTTTTTCACCTTTTAACTGTGACTTGTCTTGCCAAAAATACTATACTATGGAGTGAATTTAACCAAGCTTTTTGCCCTGCCAGGAACTCTTCCTCCCTGTTCCTCTTTAAAAGTAACGATCAATATGTGACACTACTTTTCTTATCTGTGGCAAGGGACAAACTGAGCAAACAGCAACAAAAAAAAAGATTATTTTGGCCTTACTACATGATCAAGCAGGACAAAAAGTATGACTAGACGGAAAAAAAAAAAAAACAGCACTTCTGCAAACCTTCAGAAGAGAGCATGTAACATGAAGTGGAGCATTAGAGCTGCAGTAGCAGTATGTGACATACCACAGCATCCCCACAGAAACACAGCAGACTACAGAAAGACCATTCTTTGATGATTTTTCTATATTTAGTCAGTTTCTAGAATCATCTCAGATGCTAAAGATGGGGCTACACACATGCAAGTTTCTCATTTTGTAAACTATTTATCCCCTCACTGGTAAAACAGGTAGGTAAAGGCAAACAAAAGAAATACATATACAGTGAAGTTTGCAGAATGAATAAGAAAATTGAGAGCCTGGCAGAATTCGTCTTCCTGATCCTATAATGCAAGTAGAAGTTAATTTGAGATACTGTGTTCAGATCCACAGCAAGAAACTAATGGGTTGGGAAAGGTTGTTGAACTTTCTAGTGATCCTGTGTGTACCAAGTAGCAAGTAAGATCGAGTAGCAGGTAAGACTGAAAGTAAACTTGAGTTGACCGTGAACCTTTTGTGCCTGTGTTGTCAACAAAATTCCTTAGAGGTTCAATAGTACAGTGGATGTTCGTGAACTGGAAGGTATATTTAATAAAATACTTTTCCTCATGAATGTCTATATCTGACCATCATGTATCTTTGTCCTGTTTTTGATCATCGGCTCTTCTACACTAGCTCTTTGATAACTTCAAAATATCAATAAATGCCAAGTAAAACTCTGCTGGAAACCAAGTTATGAGTGAAGTTTACAGACAGCATAGCAAAACAAGAGAAAATTTTATACTACAATGCAAATATAGTGAAGTTACACAGGAAAGTAGTGAAGGTGGTGGAGCAGGCCCCTTTAAGTGAACTTCTTGGCCACTTAATTATGGGGTAGCAATTAAACAGATTACGCATACTGGTCTGGTTGTAATATGGGCAGATACTGTAATACAGGCAGATACAGCCTAACTTTCTCTAGTTTCTGTGCCGTTTTCTGTTTACTGGTTTACAGGATACAAAGTAAAAACAGTGTGATGTGTGGAGATAGATCAAGTGACAGTCAACCGAGTACAGGATATTTTGATACCTTTTTCTCTGGGATTTCATCCCTCTAGAACACATGCAGTGTAAGAACAGAATATGAAGATGAAATCAGGAGGAATAAATAACCATACATTAAAAAAAAAAAAAAAATAAAAAAATCACAATCTCCTCCAGAGGGCAATCTTTGCACATATTTAATTCAGGAATACCCTTTACAGTTTATTTTAAAAGGTCTAGAGCTTTATGAAGGATCATTATTAAAAAAAGTACTGAAATTGCTCTCTAGGAAACTAAAAGTTTTCTATCCACCCCTGTCCATTATCACAATTATTTTAAGATTAGTGTTAGAAAAAAGATCCAGGGTTTCACTAGAGACTCATCTGGACTTGTTCAATAGATGTTTTCATAGATCTGTAACTTCCAAGTTAACTGAGATTTATCCCAAACAAATCCACCTTCAAAGTAAAATAACTCATTGCACCACTGACCACATCTTTAAAGCAAAGCTATTTCTAATCACCAAAATCCACACAGCAGTAGATCAACTACTGACATACATCAAATTGTCAACTATTTTACAACTTGCCAGTGCTCCTTAGTGGAAACAATTATTTATCCGATAGAAGAGTTACTTAACTTTCTGAAGCTATTCAAAGCCTATTCTTAGCTTCCAGAAGTACCCAATGACTTAGAAATAGATTATCATATCTCATATTTAATTATTACTTTCTTTAATTTATTTATTAACCATCATAGACTCTCATCAGACTAATGGGTATATCATCAGTCACAATGTTGTAGCAGTTAATCGAACAGAATTTGGTGTCAGTTGTTAATTAAAGGTGTTCTCTTCATTAGATTTGTAACAGGGAGCCTCCGCTAAGCAGAAATTTTGATCAATTTCTTACTTAAAACAGTTATGTTGTGTTCAAATCTAGGGAACAGCAGAGCCACTATGAAAAGGGAGGCAAGGGCAGGACTTTATGATGAAAATGAGAAAGACGAGCACAAACCCAATATGCATAGACTGTAAAACTGACCTAAGATCAACTTCCTGAGCATTTAAAGAGTAAAAAAAAAAAAAAAAAAATTGTATTTGGTTAGCAGATGATAATGTCAAACATCCCTAAAGATATGTTTTGTCTAGCAGCCTAAAACTGGTATCTTTGTGTGAACATCCATTAACAAGTCCTCTGCCTACTTAAAAAGTATCAACAGTGGATTTAAGAAATACCAAATTTGAAACCCAAGAGCCACTTTTAAAAACCTCTCAGAAAAACACTTTTGTCATAAATCTTGGCATGCATACACAACCCTCCCACACCCCACACATCAAAGCTCAGCACTCTGAAATCAAGTAACAGATTTATTGACGATTTACAGTATTTAGAAGCCAGACATACCCGTGGCTTCTGCTCTTAACTCACATATATCAAATTATTCTAAAATGTTTGATGTAGCTGTCTTCAGCAGTTGTAGTGGAAACATGCTATCGTTTTCCTTTGTGGCCACAGCCTGATACAAATGTCAATTATTTTGTTGCTGGAAAACATTAAATATGTCAGTTTGTATAGCATACGTATGCAGTAGGATGCAGTTATGTTTTTGTGCACACTGCAGAAGTGCAGTAAGACTGACAATAAAAGGAATTATTTTTTCAATATAAGTCTTGCACGGAGTTATAGCTACCATAAAACAACTGTTTCTTGAACAGTAGGCTAATGCTGCTAAAAATCACTTTTAATTCTTAATACAAAGTAGATGCATAAATAGCTATAATAAAAATCTGTGTACTGAAAAAAAAATACTTCTTAAAAAAAGATGAGAAGAGTTATTCTTATGCTTAATCAAATAATGTTGTTTTTTTTTAATACCTGGGTTCCTTTCCCTCACTATATAAAATTTTTATGTAGACATATAAATGCTGTTCTTGCAGTTTTAAAAGGGCAGAATAATGGCTATCAGATACTACAGTTTGTCGTTAACCTTTTCAAAATACTGCCAAAGACACAAAGATTCTCAGATTCTGCCTTCAGTGCAGGAACCTGAATGACAGTAGAGTAACTATTTAAACATCATAGGAGGATACTTGAGGCTTATTAGAAACCTGTGTTAGGCTGCCAATACTAAAATTTTAGGATCTTTAGCTACTCTAAACTGCAACTTGGATCTTTAGTTAGGATTCTCTATATAACGGATTTAAAAGTCATTGTACTTAATGTAAAAGACTTCATGATTTGATAAAATTTTTCATCTTGACTTGTACAGGTATCCAAGGCTTCGATAACATCTTCATTTGAGGCTGGCACTTCTGAATTAAACTGGAAAGGCTAATTGCAAAAGGTAAAAATCTACTCTTGACAAAGCTGTTACTACCACCATAAGGCAAAACTTCCAAACCAGTTGTTTAAATGATTTCCCAATTTGGGGCAGTGTTGGGTATTATTATACGTTTTTAAGAATTGGCAAGTTTGTACAAAACCATTATTTATGCCACTCAGTATCTTCTCAGCTTTAATCCTCTGGCATCAGAATCATCTTCACAACAATTCTACTTTTACAAATGGAGGATTTTATCTTTAAGGGAGAAATAAACCACATGATCTGAGGTGTAAACAGCTAGAAAATTTCCTGGTGTTAGACAAGAGTAGAGTAGTAAAAACTGGGGTATGACAGAAGAAATTCTACTTCTATGAAGCCAGGGGGAAGTCTGACTGTAAACAGGAGTCAATATTTCATCACATTAAAATATGGAAAACATATGGCAACATGAAAAATACCTTTCATTCATGTTTGGGTTTGTTTTTGTTTTTTTTTTTTTTTTTCCGTTGTGGCACCAGTCACTAAAGCTGCTATTATAATGCCTCTAATACAACAGTGACACATATCATTTTACTATCTGTTTTGCTCAAAATGGAAAAAATGCTCTAAATTCAGAGCATCTTCATTTGTTCTAGTTGCTTTCTGGTTGGCATGCTTCCTAAATACCACTTGCTACCATTTTCTTCAGAATAGACACAAGTAGAACCACATCTCTTAACTTTGCAAGAGAGAGTAACACAATGCTCTGAGAGCCCTAAGAAAGAAATACTTCCAATTTCAGTGGTGAAGGCAGAGGAGGTGGTCACACACTGCTAGCTGCCTGTCCTCTGCCTACATGCTTAGGTCAATGGCTCTCAACTGCAGCTGATCTCTTAGGAATAAAGCGGTAGTACAAATATTCATCCCGAAATTCAAATTCATTTGTAATATGCTGGACGACGCCTCCCTTCATCAGTCTGTCGCCATACATCACAGCTTCACCACGGTCAGAGGCAAGGCCAACTTGCATGAGCCAGTTCACCAGGTCACAGCCAAAGAAGATGCCAGTGGAGATCTTTGCACCACACCTGTATGTCAAAGGAAGGATTCACCCACATGCTCTGTAAATCTGGTATCACCACTGCACGATGGCGAAAGGCAAGGAAAAATAGCAGGAAACAAGGAAAGACATCATGATAGTTAAGAGCATGTTAGAAGAGAATTTGCAAGTTTTGTATATTAGGGACATGCCAATGTTCACTACCTTTTCCTACAGACACTTCAATGAGAAGCAAAATCTACATACAAAGTTATTTTAGGCTTACACAAATAAGATTCAGTGAATGTAAGTAGCAACTTCCCTAAAACCACACACAATGTAATTCTATTTCTTGGATACTTCCCATGTACTCATTAGTATGACCATTTCTGCAACAAAATATCTGATTTGAGTGCAGCACGCCTGCAGCAATGGGGCCTCAATTTGCACTTCAATTCAATTTGATAATTTCTCTACAGCTTTAAACAGACATTAACTGCTCACATATATTGTAAACAAATACCATTTAACTTGCATATCCGGTTAAATATTTACCACACAGGCAGTACTAAGAAAAAACAAAACATTTACAACAATACTAAACTAATTTTTTTTTACATATTTATGAGGCAATGCCACTACCTTCTACCTAACCTAGCTGCAGTAAAAATACCATTCAGAAATTTACCTGCAGCAATTAATGTTTTGGTTATCTAAAATCTGCTCTATGAAACTCAAGTACAGGGTTTCTGAAGATTATTAACAGCTACACAAGACAGCAAAAAACACACTTATCTGTTTTTTTTTTTTTAAGCTAAAAGCAGCAGTAACACAGAGCAAGAGTTAACATAAATTAGCAGAGAAGCAAAAATGAAAACAAATAAAAATCCATGATTTCAAGGTCTCAGTTACAGTATGTTTAAATCAAAGAGGATAGGATCAAGTTAGATGAATATTTAAAATGAGAAGATAAATGCTTTGTTTTAATGCACAAGGAGAAATAAGACATGAAACTAGTTCCACACAAACATAATACTAAAACAATGAAGCAACAAATGTCAGATTTTGATGTATTCTCAAGTGGATATATGATTAATAAAAACCACAAAACCCAACAAAATGAACAGCCCAAAACCCAAGAAAACCCAACAGCAGAAGAGGCACAGGAAACACAGCTGAAAAACCTGTCCTATTTCAAACCAAACATTTTCTGATACATCCCTTCTGTCGGGCATGAAAG